AAAAAAAACAGGATCGGGCCCAAGCGGGCAGGCAACAAATAAAGAGATTGGAAAACAGGTTGGAAACTTGAAGGTCATAGTAAAAAAAGAGGAGTAAATAATTACAGGAATGGAAAACGTAAATCCTGGAATAATACTTGGAATGGTAAAATCTAAGTTAATTGGGTGTCGTTTTGGGAAATAAGCAAGTGATTTAAGAAAGGAAAGTAAGAAGTTAACTCTTTAGTTGCTGGAAAGAATTAAGCAGATGAACTTTGTGAAATACTGGAAAGAAAAAGAATTCTTGGTTTCTTTGCAGCCATTTTGGAAAAAAATGGGCCCTTTTCCAAAGAAATGCAATTATACAGTGCTACTTAATTAATATCTTGTTAGGTTCCAAAGGGCTACAATAGGTGGTGTCTTCCTTTTCAGGTCGCTGTGTGTTTGACAGCAGGAGTTAAAAGTAAAAGGCAATCAAAAGTCTGGTAAAGTTTATTGTGCCCTTTTTAAAGTAAGAGTCTTTAACCTGTGAATCCAAAAGCAAGCTGGAAAGCATTTGTTTTAATGTAAATTACCTAACTGATAAGGTAGAGGCCACTGAAACCTGGGCTGCCTATAAAACAAATACAAGAAAATATGGGTAATTCCTCTGTTTTGCCTGCAATTAACAAAGGTATTTGTATAAAAAGGAAATATGTTAAGCAATGACTGACTGCCCAAAAGGGGTAGATCTGTGGGGTTTTTTTTGTCTTTCAGAAAATCAGAAAAAACTGATGCCAGCTAAAAAGCAATTCAACATCTCATGAATTTACTGGCACAATAGGAATTCTGTTCTGTGTTCTATGTCCTGTCTTGTGGTGTTTGTCTTGTGGCCAGAATTGCTGTGTTTAATTTTTCATAGGACAGTTTAATTTAAAACTAAATAAAAGGGTTAAATCAAAATGCAGATACTTGTTTTATTCAACTTGGAATACAAAGTGTTTGAATAATATTAAAAAATGTAATATACTAAAGTTTAATACATTTGCTTAAATAAAAAAAAAATTAATTGGCCAGATCTTTTAATTAAAAAAATTGTTGTTAAAATTTGCACACCAACAGTCTTTGGAAGCAAGGACATGAAAGGTTAACCCACTCCCCATATTATACATGAGATCCTTCTGGCTACCTCACATTTCTAGCCAGAGGGCTGAGGAGGGAGGAAAGCTATTGGACACCAGAGGTTCTACCAAGTGGACTCCTCAAAAGTGGGTGTGCTTGTCCTGGCTTGTTGCTCCAAAGCTCTGTAATAAAGTCATTTTCCTAGAAGGGTGTATGTCACATACATTATACAATAAGACTGAAGTGCTGTATAATGGGCAATGTACATGTGTTCCTTTTTAAACAAAGGTGTATGAGGAAAAAGTGAAAGTTTCCTTTGCAGGTTAATAAAAGCCAAGAAAGGAAAAAAAAATAAATAAAACGGAGGACGAGCTAATTCAACGCTGTAGCTGGCAGGCTTGGTCCAAAGATAAAACACTGGCCTGCCCAAGGACACTACTCACAGCTAGGATTTGGCTAACAGCCAAGAAAGAGGGGGGCTTGAATGTGCCCAAGCAGCTGTGAGATCTGCAACACACTGCCAGACATTAATAAAATGTGTTAGGTCTCTGTATTTACAGGTAAAAGAAGTCCTGCTTCAAGAATCCTGAGCAAACCTGCCATTTGTTAAAACCAGGTGACTGGGTCTACAGAAAGGTCCATCAACAAAAGACTACTCTGGCCCCATGCTGAAAAGGCCCTTATTAAGTCCTGCTAACTACCAACACCGCTGTGAAGTGCCAAGGACTGACTGCCTAGACCCATGCTTCTTACTGCAAAAAGACCCCTCCACCTCGAGGTGACTTCACTTCGACTACTGATCAGCCTGTCCCTCCTCCTGGGTTTTTTTTCTTTCCTCCTTTTAAACAGCAAAAAAAAAAAATCCAAGGTGAAGTGCTAGTAACCTCTCCCTTGTCCACTGACAAAGCTAACCTGCATTCAGTATTTGCTAAAAAAAAAAACAAAAAAACAAAGCACTACAGGGTGATGTGTTAGTAACCTCTCCCCTGTATAATGCAAAACCATGACTGTTCCAAAAAAAAAAAAAAAAAAAAGCCTGCTCTGCTAAAACCACCAAAATCCAAGGATTCCTGACTGCAAAAGACACTGAAAATTGGCCTTGATGGCAAAGACAGAGCATTGTACATTGGCAGGGAGGAAGTTGAGGGATGTATTCTTGGGGTATGTCTACACTACGGAATAAGGTCGAATTTATAGAAGTCGTTTTTTTAGAAATCGGTTTTATAAATTCGAGTGTGTGTGTCCCCACAGAAAATGCTCTAAGTGCATTAAGTGCATTAACTCGGCGGAGCGCTTCCACAGTACCGAGGCAAGCGTCGACTTCCGGAGCGTTGCACTGTGGGTAGCTATCCCACAGTTCCCGCAGTCTCCGCTGCCCATTGGAATTCTGGGTTGAGATCCCAATGCCTGATGGGGCTAAAACATTGTCGCGGGTGGTTCTGGGTACATATCGTCAGCCCCCCGTTCCCTCCCTCCCCCCGTGAAAGCAAGGGCAGACAATCATTCCGCGCCTTTTTTCCTGAGTTACCTGTGCAGACGCCATACCATGGCAAGCATGGAGCCCGGTCAGGTAACCGTCACCCTATGTCTCCTGGGTGCTGGCAGACGCGGTACGGCATTGCTACACAGTAGCAGCAACCCCTTGCCTTGTGGCAGCAGACGGTACAGTACGACTGGTAGCCGTCATCGTCATGTCTGAGGTGCTCCTGGTCGCCTCTGTGAGGTCGATCAGGAGTGCCTGGGCAGACATGGGCACAGGGACTAAATTTGGAGTGACTTGACCAGGTCATTCTCTTTAGTCCTGCAGTCAGTCCTATTGAACCGTCTTATGGTGAGCGGGCAGGCGATACGGACTGCTAGCAGTCGTACTGTACCATCTTCTGCCAGGCAGGCAAGAGATGAGGATTGCTAGCAGTCGTATTGCACCATCTTCTGCCAGGCAGGCAAGAGATGGGGATGGCTAGCAGTCGTACTGTACCATCTTCTGCCGAGCAGCCATGAGATGTGGATGGCATGCAGTCCTTCTGCACCGTCTGCTGCCAGCCAAAGATGTAAAAGATAGATGGAGTGGGTCAGAACAAGAAATAGACCAGATTTGTTTTGTACTCATTTGCCTCCTCCCCTGTCTAGGGGACTCATTCCTCTAGGTCACACTGCAGTCACTCACAGAGAAGGTGCAGCGAGGTAAATCTAGCCATGTATCAATCAGAGGCCAGGCTAACCTCCTTGTTCCAATAACAACGATAACTTAGGTGCACCATTCCTTATTGGAACCCTCCGTGCAGTCCTGCCTGAAATACTCCTTGATGTACAGGCACCCCCTTTGTTGATTTTAGCTCCCTGAAGCCAACCCTGTAAGCTGTGTCGTCAGTCGCCCCTCCCTCCGTCAGAGCAACGGCAGACAATCGTTCCGCGCCTTTTTTCTGTGCGGACGCCATACCACGGCAAGCATGGAGCCCGCTCAGCTCACTTTGGCAATTAGGAGCACATTAACCACCACACGCATTATTCAGCAGTATATGCAGCACCAGCACATGGCAACGCGATACCGGGCGAGGAGGCGACGTCAGCGCGGTCCCGTGAGTGATCAGGACATGGACACAGATTTCTCTGAAAGCATGGGCCCTGACAATGCATGCATCATGGTGCTAATGGGGCAGGTTCATGCTGTGGAACGCCGATTCTGGGCTCGGGAAACAAGCACAGACTGGTGGGACCGCATAGTGTTGCAGGTCTGGGACGATTCCCAGTGGCTACGAAACTTTCGCATGCATAAGGGCACTTTCATGGAACTTTGTGACTTGCTTTCCCCTGCCCTGAAGCGCATGAATACCAAGATGAGAGCAGCCCTCACAGTTGAGAAGCGAGTGGCGATAGCCCTGTGGAAGCTTGCAACGCCAGACAGCTACCGGTCAGTTGGGAATCAATTTGGAGTGGGCAAATCTACTGTGGGGGCTGCTGTGATGCAAGTAGCCCACCCAATCAAAGATCTGCTGATATCAAGGGTAGTGACCCTGGGAAATGTGCAGTTGATGGCTTTGCTGCAATGGGATTCCCTAACTGTGGTGGGGCTATAGACGGAACCCATATCCCTATCTTGGCACCGGAGCACCAAGCCGCCGAGTACATAAACCGCAAGGGGTACTTTTCGATAGTGCTGCAAGCTCTGGTGGATCACAAGGGACGTTTCACCAACATCAACGTGGGATGGCCGGGAAAGGTGCATGATGCTCGCATCTTGAGGAACTCTGGTCTGTTTCAAAAGCTGCAGGAAGGGACTTTATTCCCAGACCAGAAAATAACTGTTGGGGATGTTGAAATGCCTATATGTATCCTTGGGGACCCAGCCTACCCCTTAATGCCATGGCTCATGAAGCCATACACAGGCAGCCTGGACAGTGGTCAGGAGCTGTTCAACTACAGGCTGAGCAAGTGCAGAATGGTGGTAGAATGTGCATTTGGACGTTTAAAGGCGCGCTGGCGCAGTTTACTGACTCGCTTAGACCTCAGCGAAACCAATATTCCCACTGTTATTACTGCTTGCTGTGTTCTCCACAATATCTGTGAGAGTAAGGGGGAGACGTTTATGGCGGGGTGGGAGGTTGAGGCAAATCGCCTGGCTGATGGTTACGCGCAGCCAGACACCAGGGCGATTAGAAGAGCACAGGAGGGCGCGGTGCGCATCAGAGAAGCTTTGAAAAACAGTTTCATGACTGGCCAGGCTACGGTGTGAAAGTTCTGTTTGTTTCTCCTTGATGAACCCCCCCCCCCCCCCCCCGCCCCTTGGTTCACTCTACTTCCCTGTAAGCTAACCACCCTCCCCTCCTCCCTTTAATCATTGCTTGCAGAGCCAATAAAGTCATTGTTGCTTCACATTCATGCATTCGTTATTCATTCATCACACAAATAGGGGGATGACTACCAAGGTATCCCAGGAGGGGTGGTGGAGGAGGGAAGGAAAATGCCACACAGCACTTTAAGCACAGCACTTTAAAAGTTTACAACTTTAAAATTTATTGAATGACAGCCTTCTTTTTTTGGGGCAATCCTCTGTGGGGGAGTGGCTGGTTGGCCGGAGGCCCCCCCACCGCGTTCTTGGGCGTCTGGGTGTGGAGGCTATGGAACTTGGGGAGGAGGGCGGTTGGTTACAGAGGGGCTGCAGTGGCAGTCTGTGCTCCAGCTGCCTTTGCTGCAGCTCAACCATACACTGGAGCATACTGGTTTGGTCCTGCAGCAGCCTCAGCATTGAATCCTGCCTCCTCTCATCACGCTGCCGCCACCTTTGAGCTTCAGCCCTGTCTTCAGCCCGCCACTTACTCTCTTCAGCCCTCCACCTCTCCTCCCGGTCATTTTGTGCTTTCCTGCACTCTGACATTATTTGCCTCCACGCATTCGTCTGTGCTCTGTCAGTGTGGGAGGACAGCATGAGCTCGGAGAACATTTCATCGCGAGTGCGTTTTTTTTTCTTTCTAAGCTTCACTAGCCTCTGGGAAGGAGAAGATCCTGTGATCATTGAAACACATGCAGCTGGTGGAGAAAAAAAAAAGGGACAGCGGTATTTAAAAAGACACATTTTATAAAACAGTCGCTACACTCTTTCAGGGTAAACCTTGCTGTTAACATTACATACATAGCACATGTGCTTTCGTTACAAGGTCGCATTTTGCCTCCTCCCACCGCGTGAACGGATTTTGGTTGAATGCCAGCAAACATACACTGCAATGCTTTGTTCTACAGTGATTCCCCAGTACATGTTGCTGGCCTGGAGTGGTAAAGTGTCCTACCATGAAGGACGAAATAAGGCTGCCCTCCCCAGAAACCTTTTGCAAAGGCAGAACCGCAAATGCCAGGGCAAAGTAATCCTTTCACATGCTTGCTTTTAAACCATGTATAGCATTTTAAAAGGTACACTCACCAGAGGTCCCTTCTCCGCCTGCTGAGTCCAGGAGGCAGCCTTGGGTGGGTTCGGGGGGTACTGGCTCCAGGTCTAGGGTGAGAAACAGTTCCTGGCTGTCGGGAAAACCGGTTTCTCTGCTTGCTTGCTGTGAGCTATCTACAACCTCCTCATCATCATCTTCTTCGTCCCCAAAACCTACTTCCGTATTGCCTCCATCTCCATTGAAGGAGTCAAACAACACGGCTGGGGTAGTGGTGGCTGAACCCCCTAAAATGGCATGCAGCTCATAATAGAAGCGGCATGTTTGGGGCTCTGACCCAGAGCGGCTGTTCGCCTCTCTGGTTTTCTGGTAGGCTTGCCTCAGCTCCTTCAGTTTCACGCGGCACTGCTTCGGGTCCCTGTTATGGCCTCTGTCCTTCATGCCCTGGGAGATTTTCAGAAAGGTTTTGGCATTTTGAAAACTGGAACGGAGTTCTGATAGCACGGATTCCTCTCCCCAAACAGCGATCAGATCCCGTACCTCCCGTTCGGTCCATGCTGGAGCTCTTTTGCGATTCTGGGACTCCATCATGGTCACCTGTGCTGATGAGCTCTGCATGGTCACCTGCAGCTTGCCACGCTGGCCAAACAGGAAATGAGATTCAAAAGTTCGCGGTTCTTTTGCTGTCTACCTGGCCAGTGCATCTGAGTTGAGAGCGCTGTCCAGAGCGGTCAGAATGGAGCACTCTGGGATAGCTCCCAGAGGCCAATACCATCGAATTGTGTCCACAGTACCCCAAATTTGAGCCGGCAACGTCGATTTAAGCGCTAATCCACTTGTCAGGGGTGGAGTAAGGAAATCGATTTTAAGAGCCCTTTAAGTCGAAATAAAGGGCTTCATTGTGTGGACGGGTGCAGGTTTAAATCGATTTAACGCTGCTAAATTCGACCTAAAGTCCTAGTGTAGACCAGGGCTAGGGAATGTGAAGTAAAGTGGTGGGGTGGGTTTATTCCAGAGGCTGGAACCTGTGCTTGTAGGCAAGTATAAATACCAAAAATGCCTTACAGCCACGAACATTACTCCCACCATCTGCCACCACTCCTTTGCAGGTAAAGGTTCCTGGATCCATCATAGCTATGTTAAGTTGGCGCTGAGATCCCCACCTGATCCTGACAAGCCATTGGATGAGCCACTTCACGAATGAACACCACGACCAACCCATGGACTAAGCTTTCCAGCTACTGGGACCTTCACAGCCCACCAGGACTTTTTGTGTTCCTGTTTATTGGACTTACATTGGGGGTAGTGCTTTTTTGTATGGTACAGGGGAGGATGTCAACATTGGTATGGTTTGCCTGGGGGGGTCCTCTCCCTATTCCCAAGTCCAGTACAAGGATGGAAGGGCAATAGCTTCTTGAATTTAACCCATGCTATCAAACAGGTGTAAATCGAACGCAGTGTTGGATTTGTATTCGTACCCCCACATATTTAGGTCAGGGGGTCCGTTGGTAGGGGTACCTATCCCCCTTAATCGAAAACTCCAAGCTAAGCTATGGGCAAACACTACATTTAACTGAAATGTTACAATCCAATTATGGTCTATTGATATGGTGGCCCAGGGTAATTATGCTTTATGTGTGTCACGACGTAAGGGCATAGAAAATACAATTTTTGTAGGGAATTTTGTAGGGTGCAAGGACACCACGCAAATCAGCTCTGGTGCGGGAGGCCCCTTTACCTACTCCAGGACCCTGTGGCCAGTCCCCGAGGGGTCTGGCTGGTATTGGTTATGCAATCACACAGCCTATAAGGTTCTCCCAGCAGGATGGTGTGGTACATGTACCTTAGGGGCTATAGTACCCGCCGTGACAGTACACCAGAACCTGACCCGGGGAGAGATCCGCAATCTAGTATGGAGGGACCGACGAAGTATTCCTTTAAACCCCCTTTCTTATCGGCCCAAAGGCTTTCACTCCTTTGTGCGCTGGTTTCTGCCATGGTTGGGAGTAAGCGAGCTGAAAAAGGCTATAGTTAACATTTCAGCTGCTTTGGAACTAATGGCAAATGCTACTGCAGATGCTCTCTCTGCCCTTCAATTGAAGTCACCCAGCTATCCCAAACTACATTGCAAAACTGCCTAGCCCTGGATTATCTCCTTGCAAATCAGGACGGGGTTTGTGCTCTGGTCAATTCAAGCTGTTGTGTATTTGTAAATCAGCACCATAGGGTGGAAACTGACATCCACATCCTCAAGCAACAGGCAGCCCTATTCCACCACATCAGCCTCGACACTACCAACGCCGGATTCCAGGAGGTCTGGGACTGGCTCACCTCATGGCTACCGGATGTGGGGATTTGGGGATGGCGTATTTTGTATTTACTTTTTTGACTGTTATTGTTTTTGCATTATTTTTTGTATGCCTACAATGCTGCAGTATGTGCTGTCGGCAGTTGCTAACCCTGCAGCGCGGTTACCCAGCCCCAATATAGCTTACTGACGTACAAAAAAAAAAGGGAGGACTGTTAAGGAAAAGTTAGCACATGTGACTCCATTTTGGTTTGGGGCCCACCATTGTTTAAATGCCAGCATATCATACACCAGGAGGAGTGATCCTTAGATACTGAATCCCTGTGAAAATCCTCCTCCTTGTCTCCAGCCTGCCTTGACTCCCAGTATCTGGTTTTTGTCAGTCTCTAACTCCCTGTCTCTTGGCCTTGATGTGAGGCCTCCCATTCTGATAATAAAAGTTACTGATGCATGGCTTTAGGACCATGCTGAGTAATTAACATACTGGTATAGCACGAGGAATGCACCAAGCAGGGATAGGTGGTAGATAAGACAAGGGTTTGTTTATTGGCTAAGGTTTCCAATGCACGAGGGCAACATGCTTTGCTAAAAAGTATATAACCTTTGTATAATCTGTATTCAGGGTCCCCCCCTGGCTAGCAGGGGGACACCATGCTCGAGCGTAATAAACTTAGTGTCTTTTGGGAACTCTGCAGTTGTGGACTTTGTTTCTGTGCCTCAGCCTAGATTCGAACTGTGCGTGACCTATCAGGTATAATTCGCAGCATTGGTGTGCGTGTCCTACCAGGTGTAATTCGTAGCATTGGTGTGCGTGTCCTACCAGGTGTAATTCATAGCATTGGTGTGCGTGTCCTACCAGGTGTAATTCGTAACATTCCTATATTTGTAACCTCACCACAGACCCACACGATGGCAGGAGAAGGGTTCCTCTCCAACTATCAATGTTTGCTAACAAGAGAGAGGCTAATAAGGGGTCATGCTTTTTAGCTTTTCTATGCACCCACAAGGGCTAGTAACCTATATTTTAAAAAAATGAAAGCTAAAATTCTCTCACAATCATAAAAAGAAAAGGAGTACCTGTGGCACCTTAGAGACTAACCAATTTATTTGAGCATAAGCTTTCGTGAGCTACAGCTCACTTCATCAGATGGCTTATGCGCAAATAAATTGGTTAGTCTCTAAGGTGCCACAAGTACTCCTTTTCTTTTTGCGAATACAGATTAACACGGCTGTTACTCTGAAACCTCTCACAATCATAGGACTTCATGAGCTGAGACTTTAAGAGAAACATCAAATATTGCATGACTCAAAAAAAACCATCAGAGTTTGTAGTGATGAGAGTCTATCTTCTTTATTCCAAGTCATTAAATTCTTCTCTTCCTCATTATTCACTGGCTAGCTTTGAGCCAAGCACTGAGGAAGACTGTGTGGCATCTGTTGCTGATCGGTTTGTTATCAAAGCAACGTTTATATCTATCTGGTTCAGATGGGCTGGGCCATTCTCTGAGGTCACACCAGGCAATTTCAGAGTCTCTTCCTTGCTTGAGATCTTTATTCTAGCCTTTCTGGGTTCTCTGCTGTGTGAGTCTACTGATTATGCAGGTTTCTCATAAAGCTCTGGTTTGTATACAATGATACAGCACAGCTGGACTCTGGGTCAGGATTTATCTTCAATTCCTACCCTATGGAGATCAGCTTGTCCTGCATCTGGTAAGTTCTTGTGGGCAGCAGAGGCTTGTCTGGTGTTTTCCTCTCAGCTGCTCTGCAGCAAGAGCCAGCTGGCATTTAAGACCACAGAGACTCACAATCTCTCTTAGTGGTAAATACTGAATAAGAAGTTCCTAAGGGCTTGTCTTCACTACTGCACTAAATTTTTGCTGCTGCATCAATGCAGCGTCATCCATTTAGCGCATCTGGTGAAGCCATATTATGTCAACAAGAGAGCATAATTACTCCATCTCAACACTTTAAGTCAATGTAACTCATGGAACTCTTTGGTTGGTTTTTTCACACCTCTGAGCGAAGTAACTTACATCAACTTAAATGGTAGTGTAGACAAGGCCTAAATGTTTATCATACTTAGATGCTGCACCTGGGAATGCTACAGAAGGAGAGAGAGAATGCCTTGGAGAGGAAAAGCACTAAGTAAGTACTGAGTGCACTCATTACAGCTGTTTGGGCTTTTTTTACATAGAAAATTTAATTAAAACAAAAAGATCATTGACATCAACATTTTCAGTGGAAAATTCCTAGTTTTCCTCAAAAAAACTGAAAATTTCAGTTTTCAAACATAATTTTTTTTCTGTGTTCAGCTTTCCAATGAATCATCAACAAATTTTGAGGAAAGCTGATGCTACCCAGCAAGTTTTATACTCAATAAACAAGATTCCACCGGTGAAAACTTTGATCAGAAAACTTCCAACCAGCCCTTGCTATTTTTGTGGCAGTTCCCTCTAGGCAAACAGGAAATGGAAGGGTCTCATTTCACTCAGCAATGCCCCTAGTGGCCGAAGGGCAGTGTTGGTAGGCTCCTATGGGGAGCCCCATATGTTCTGAGCCAGAAGGGATGTGATTAAGGCATATGAGGGACCCTGAGGCAGATAAGGGAAGGGAACAGGACTTTGGAGTCCTACAGTAATACAGGGCAGAGAAGGAGTGGCTGAGTGTGACTTTCAGAGCAGAATTCAAAGTCTGATGCTAATAAAAGCCCGTGACAATTTCCTGGTGAAGCTTGGAGTAGCCCACGGCTGGATGGAGGAGAGCAGCTGCTGTGACAGAGTAAGTGCGTTGGCAAACACTCTTCTTGGGTGACCATTAAAATTGTGGGTTGGTTGACATACTGGGAAAGGAGGCCATGAGGATGCCCTGAGATCCTTTCAGGACCCTTGTAGGAAAATGACGTGAGAATTCAGAAAGCAGCAGATCCAATTACCTGAAGAGAGGAGCAAGGAGAAATTTGTGGCTCAAACAGCATGCTCCTGTGAGAGCAAGTGGCACCTGCCAGACCTAGAAAATGTTCATACAGAAGGGTGGAGAAGTGACAAAACTTGCTTGCCTTCACCCAAAGCTTTCCATGCATCGGCTGCTCGCTACTAAGTGGCACTAGCCAGTGAGTAAAAGAATCAGGGCTCAGAGGTTGGACTGGTGTCGATATCATCTGTGACGTCTCCTGTCTAATAACAGCTGGATCTGGGGTGAGCATTTAGTGCTGCCATAGGTTGGTGCCTCCAGCTCTTTTGAAAACATAGACACAAGTGGTGTCACCCTGCCACCTTCCCACTCCCACAACATCCCCAAGCAAAGAAACAAAGTACTCTGGCCCGGCCAGTGAAAGGGAAACAGAAATGGGACAAAAGTGGGTTGCACAGGTTGGAGAGAATACAATCTCTGGGAAGGAAGAGGCAATCTTTACTATTCCCATGGCCCTTTAGCCTTTCCTTCCTCTTTACAACCACATAGGTTAGAATGGCGTTTAGATTGAGAGCTTTCAAGACCTGAAGGGATCATTATAGTCATCTAGTCTGACGTCCTCTGTAACAGAGGCCATAGAATTCCCCCCAGGGATTTCTGCATCAAGCCCTATAATTCCTGTTTGCACTAGCCTGAATTTATGCTTCCAACACTGGATCTTGTTATACCTTTTTGTCTGTCAAATGAAAGAGCCCTCTACCCTTTGAAATAGTTTTCCCACTTACAGATTGTGACCTCATCCTGCTTTCCAGTGCTTGTTAACACTTAAAAAAATCTAGAGCCTCTTAACATGCCAAACCTAGCAGCAGCTGGGAGTATTATCAAAACTGGACCCTATGGGGTTAGTGCTGTACATTGCCATGTGGGAGGACCCGTAAATGTCTCACAAAATGGGACATAGGCATATGTGCCTCTGCAGCCATCTTTCTTTTAGAGTCTTGGGAGATTATTAACTAGTCTTTGTGTTGTTAACTAGAGCCAGTTGACAAAATCAAATTTTTCCACAGAAAAAATCAATCTTCCATGGAAATCTGAATACCAAAATATTTTTATTTGGAAATGATGACTCATAGGAGGTGTCATTCCTGTGCCTCATTGCCCCCCTTTTTCTCTGTAGGCCAGAAATCCTGGTCAGACAACTTCTCCTATGGCACATCATGGTCCTTCCTCCTGGAAATGGAGGCAGTGCATCATGGGAGTCATTGGCCATGGTGCATGATGGGAGATGTAGTCCTGCCAAGGATCTCAGCCTGCAGAGGAGAAAGGTGATATGTGGCACCTGAACTACAAATCCCATGAGGCACCACAGCAGCATAGCTGAATTGCAATATTTCTGGTTTAGTGCTTTCAGTTTTATGACAAAAAGGTGAAAAGTTCTGTGCAAAGGAGACCCTTTCCACACACACAAATATCCACTTAATGGAAAACAATTTTCAAATGAAAAACAGTTTTAATAGAAAAATTTTGGCCAGCTCTTTCATAAATGCTTTTGGGTCTGATCCCATGCCTTTGAAGTTAATGGGAATGTTTCCTTCACTTCAATGGGAGCAGGAGCAGGGCCTTTGTGCCAAAGGACCTGAGTAAATTTCACAATCTATCAGCCCTAGGATAATCAATTACACAGCTCTGGAAAATTCCATCCTGAAAAGTTAAAGATCCAGAAAGTTAAAAGCACCTGGAAACGAAGGGGTGGAATGGAGACACTAGAGCTCCGTGGTTGAGATTTTAAAAGTTTAATTTAATGGGAGTTGTGTGGCTGAATCCTTGAGTCAGCTTTTGGAATTGCAACCCTTATTTGTGGGTGTTGCTCGTGCTCCAATTATAGCTGCATGAGAAGGACAAAATCATGACAGGGACTCAAAAGGGGTTGAGCAATAAGTAATGAAGATTCCTACTCAGCATGGCCCAGGGGCTAATTTTGGAACCAGTATTATTACATATGCTTTAATCTGGGCCAATCACTCTTTTATGCAGCATCTTCACCATCATGGCAGCACCAGGAAGCACGGCCAATGGAGTGCTTGTGTTCATGCCCCCAAACAGCACTCGCATCGTCCAACAAGGCCAGGGGGTCTCTGGTGGCATTTTTCAGACTCCTGAGATGGTGCAATGTGCGCCTCAGCAGTTCACAGTCATGAACCAACTTGGGAACCAACCTCTTGGGTCAGTGTACCCCAGGAGTCCCGCTGAGCAGGTCGCGCAGCTGAAGAAAGTAGGGATGATGGAGATATTCCTCAAAGCACAGCCCAAGGCCCTGGGGGTAAGTGTGATCTTTGCTCTCAGTCCATGAGAATGAGTCATTTCTTTGCAGAAGGGCCTACACAGGTGGATGAAGGCCTGAGCATGAGCAAACTCCAGACTCCACCCTTTTCTTTTTTACTTTAACCAACAGCTTTATGGGAAGGATGCATCAAGCCAGTGCCATCAAGTGACTTGGAATCTCTGAGACCAAGGGTAGATCTGACCTCTTCTTGAGACTTCATTGCTTTGTGGGGGGGAAGGGAATGAGAAAAATACATACAGGGTTCCAGGGGCAGTGAATCCTATTAGCTGCCCAAACAGGGAGAAATGAGGATTAATTAAGCAAAGGAGAAACAATGGGGGAAAGGATGACAAATCAACTGTTTCTGTAACTAAATGAATGAAACAGCCCCAAGTTGGCAGGGGCCATCTCGGGGAGGAAGGGACTGCAATTCAGCTGGTGTAAATCGATGTAGCTTCATTGTGCTAATTCACTCCAGCTGAGGATCTGGTCTGAGAAACAGCAGTTCAAACCCAGGGTCCCTCTCTTAGTTACTGCAGTGCAGAGCTGATTCCATTCAGCCTTTAACTACTAGTGAAATCAACCAACCTGCAACTTCTATCCATCAGTCTAGAGGAATATGCCAATGCTTCTTCATTTGTTTATAATTATGTAAATAAATAGGCAAATAAATTAATAGATTTTAAGGCCTGTAGGGACCACTAGGATCATTTAGTTTGACCACCTGTGTATCACATCTGTATCACCAGAGAACTTCCCTGAATTAATTCCTATTTGAATTCAAGCATATCTTTTAGAAAGGCATCCAGTCTTGATTTTAAAATTATCAGTGATGGAGAATCCACCACAACCCTTGGTAAGTTGTTCCAATGGTTAGTTACCTTCAGTGTTAAACATTTGTATCTTATCTCCAGTCCAAATTTGTCTAGCTTCAACTTCCAATGATTGGATTTGCTAGACCTTTGTCTGCTAGATTGAAGAGCCTGTTACTAAATTTTATTTCCCCACAGAGGTGCCTATAAATTGTGAACAAGTGAAACCTTAATCTTTTTAAGATAAGATAACCAGATTCCTGAGAATGTGCCGGTTTGGACTATCTTGTTGCAAAGTTAGGGCTCCTCTGGCTCAAAAGATCCAAAATCTCTGCTGGTGTACATAGTCACAGACCCATCCCTGTCAGTGGAGTTTTGTCCCACAGCAGGGAATTTGTTCGGAGTGGTTACTGGATCAGTGAATGTCAGTGTGGTGATGTCAAGGTTCCTTCCCCACTCTGAACTCTAGGGTACAGATGTGGGGACCTGCATGAAAGACCCCCTAAGCTTATTCTTACCAGCTTAGGTTAAAAACTTCCCCAAGGTACAAACTTTGCCTTGTCCTTGAACCGTACGCTGCCACCACCAAGTGTCTTAAACAAAGACCAGGGAAAGAGTCCACTTCCCCAAAAATATCCCCCCAAGCCCTACACCCCCTTCCCTGGGGAAGACTTGATAAGAATCCTCACCAATTTGTACAGGTGAACACAGACCCAAACCCTTGGATCTTAAGAACAATGAAAAATCAATCAGGTTCTTAAAAGAAGAATTTTAATTAAAGAAAAGGTAAAAGAATCACCTCTGTAAACTCAGGCTGGTAAATACCTTACAGGGTAATCAGATTCAAAACATAGAGAATCCCTCTAGGCAAAACCTTAAGTTACAAAAAGACACAAAAACCGGAATATACATTCCATCCAGCACAGTTTATTTTACCAGCCATTAAACAAAAGGAAATTAATGCATTTCTAGCTAGATTACTTACTAATTTAAGGAGTTGTGAGGCTGCATTCCTGATCTGTTCCCAGCAAAAGCATCACACAGACAGACCAAACCCTTTGTTCTTCCCCCTCGCCTCCAGATTTGAAAGTATCTTGTCCTCTCGTTGGTCATTTTGGGTCAGGTGCCAGCTAGGGTACCTTAGCTTCTTAACCCTTTACAGGTGAAAGGGTTTTTCCTCTGGCTAGGGGGGATTTTATAGCACTGTATACAGAAAGGTGGTTCCCCTTCCCTTTATATTTATGACAGGTGATCTGTGGGTTTCTTGTACATAGTTGTCTGTAGGGTTCCAGTGTTGAAGTTGAATTGTGGTGTCCAGGAAGTTGATGTTGGTGTGGGAGTGTTCCAGAGAGAGTTTAACAGAGAGGTGAAGGTTATTGACATTATGGTGGAAATCTATGAAGGAGTTTAAGTTGTCTGTTCAGAGGATGAAAATACCATCCATGTATCTCAGGTATATCATTGGTTTCATGGTACATTTTCCAGACATTCTTCTACAAGATGGCCCATGAAGAGATTGGCATACTGGGGACCCATCCTAATACCCATGGCTGTTACTATGGTTTGACAAAGTGTTTGTAATTGAATGTAAAACTATTATGGGTGAGGATGAAATGGATGAGTTTGGCAATGTGTTTGTGGTAGGTATCTGAAGGTTGTCCATTGTCTTGTAAATATTTAAGGCAGGCAGCTTTGCTGTCATTGTGAGGGATGTTGGTGTATTGGGAGTATTAAGGATGGCATTCTGCGGGACTTCATTGATGTTGCAGAGTTTATGAAGGAAGTCAGTTGTGTCCTGGAGGAAGCTGTCCCTTTGTGTGGTGAGTAGTATGAGGATGGTTTCTGTGAGACCCTATATTCCTTCAGTAAGAGTGCTGTGGCCAGATATGACGGGTCTGCCTGGCTTCCCTTGTTTGTGTATCTTGGGAAGCATGTACAAGGTCCCTGGGGTGGATTCATGGTGGATGAGTTTGTAGAGTTTCTCTTGGAGCTATTTGGGGAAGAATTTGAAGATTTCCTTAAATTCCTGGGTAAATTGTGGTGTGAGGTCATCTTTGAGGTCTTTATAGTCGGTGGTGCTGGAGAGTTGTCAGTTGGCCTCATTAACGTAGTCATCATGGTTGAGGATTATAATGGCAACCCCTTTGTCTTCTGGTTTCATCACTCTGGTGATTAGATTTCAGGGACTGTACAGCTGTCGTCTCGGCAGTGGAGAGATTGTGATAGAAGTGGTGATTGTTAAGGATTTCAGTAAAAAATCAAGTGTGGTTTTGTCTGCTCTGTGGTATCCAGTCTGATGATTTTTTTCTGATTGTCAGTGATGATGTGGTAATTATGAGTAGAGTCATCAATTCTTTGAGTGGAGATGGTAGAATAATTTTTCCAGTTCTCTACATGTTAGTATGGTATCAGGTTCTGTTGTAAGGCAGAAGTTCAGTCCCTTAGAGTACAGAAAATTTCAGCTGCAGTTAGAGACAGTCTTTGTGAAATGATGTTTGGCTGTTGGGTAGTGTCAATGTTGTGGGCACTGGTGCCCTGGTTTCTCCTGGAGGTGCGGTTGTGGGTTGTGGAGTAGTTGTAGTTGGTTCCACTTTTTGTTTTTGTGTTGAATACCTGTCATCAGATTTCTTTGATGATTTACAAGTAACTTTCCTGGGCTTTTAGTTCCAGTGTGTGGGAGCACATGAAGATTTCTTGTTTGAGATGCTCCCTTCTGGAATATATGAAGTTCAAAAAGTAGTTCCTTCATTTTTCTGAAGTCCATCTGCAGAGCTTTTCAACATATTTGGAATTATATGTAGTGGCCAGAGGGTTATGATGGTGAGATGTCTGAGGATGATATTTTCTGTCTTGACTTTTCTCAGGAAGTAGATGTCGCTCTTAAATTTTGTTTCCTTTTTCTTCATGTTCTGGAGTTTCTACTTCAGATAGCAAAATTTGTTATCTTCCATTATTATATGCAGTGTTGTTGTAGCTATGTTGGTCTCAGGATATTAGAGAGACAAAGTGGGTGAAGTGATATCTTTTATTGGACCAACTTCTGTTGGTAAGAGAGAGACAAGCTTTCGAGCTCACACAGATTTGCTTCTCTGATTCATTCTTTGGTGGTGATTCCTGTCACTGTTGAGGGAGTCACTAGGGGAACCACATTTTTTCAATGGGAAATGTAGTTTCCGCAAAATCAAAATTTTCCATTGAGAAAATCAAAAACAAAATATTTTGTTTTGGGTTGGGACTTCCCAAATCAAAGTGCTTCAGTTTGTCAAACTGAACTGAAATGTTTCCCCTCAGGTCAGTTTGACATTGAAACGGCATCCACCTGAGCTGCTACAAAGCCTCAAGGAAGTTGTAGTTCAGAGGGTGGTGTAGGACTGGCTCCCTGTTCCAAACTACGTCTTCCAAGACGCACTGCGGTCTTCTCTTTTACTGGACCACTATGGTATGTCATGGGAGTCCCACGATTCCACAAATGTAGGTGTAGTCCAGCTAGGAAGTCTAGCCCATAGAAGAGAATGGGGACACTAGGCACCCCAACTACAATTCCCACAAGGCAACACACTGACTCAGGTGGACTCAGTCCAGCGTTAACCAAGCCTAAATGAAATATTTCAAGTCAGTTTGACAAACTGAAACTAAATGTTTCAACATTTCCAAACTGAAATTTTTCAGTTTTCAGATTAAAACAAGTCTCTAGAGATTAGAATTTCGCACAGGATGGAATTTTCAATTTCCGATCAGCTCTGCTCAGGACATGGTGCTCCACTCCTCCACCAGGTGGCAAAGAATTGGCTCCTCTTACTACCCCATTGTCTTCCCACAGGCCATCCAGATCCTGACTGGGCTGATGCACATTGGCTTTGGGGGTGTCTCTGCAGTTTTCATCCGACACTACGCTTCCATCTCTTTTATTGGAGGATATCCCTTCTGGGGAGGACTTTCTGTGAGTAGAATAAATGGAATCATTCATAAAATGATGGCATGGCCACATGGATAAATAATCACTGTCTATCATTAATGCTCTACCCATCTATCAGGACTGAAGTGATACACATAAGATAAACAAAGGGCAAGATGGACACTTCCAGAATCTTAATGCACTTTCTAAAAATGAGTGAAATACACCTCATAAAACACTAGTGAGTTAGATATTATTATCCCCATTTTAAAGATGGGACATCAAGGGGCTAATGGAGTCACCCAAGGTAATGCAGTTGGATTGTGGCAGAAGTAAGTATAGAATCCAGATCTCCTGATTCCTCCTCATTTACTTCAAACTTCCTGTATGTATCAAGAGACAATGCAGACTGTAGCTATGGTCGATAAGAAACAAATACCTAGTACAGCACTACCAAACTCAACCCACAAAGGGAAAGTGACAGCGTGCGGTCAGCTCAGGAACCTGCAGCAGATGTCACTCCACTGGGATATGGTAAAACGTTAGTCCATCTAAACTAGCATGCCTCTTAGTCTGCTGCCACGCTTGCTGCTGTCACTTGGTAGATCATTGGCCCATCTAAGGTGCTGACCTATTTTCTGCCATTACAGCAGATCATTCATCTGCATCATGCAGTGCCCCAGATCAGGCTTCAAAATACCTTCCCCATGTTTGTGTCACCTTAGACCCCCACCCAATAAAACCCACCCACATGCACTTGAAAGACAGGTGCCTTCCACCAGCTACCACTCTCACAATCCCTGCTACCCCACCTTGCCTGTTCTACACGTTGGGTGTCCTGGCTTCTCGTTTTGAAAATCTGCTCATCCTATTCACCAAAACTGTCTTGTTGGGCTGCTGTTAAGGACCAAGCTCCTGTGAAATCCCTGCCTTAACCCCTCTGCTGGCCCAATGTTGGCACTCAGACATCTGTGAAATCATTGGCTCAGCACTTCTGGCTACTGGGCTGATGTCAAAACCCAAGCCTTTGTGAGGTCACTGTCTGAGCACCCTAGTTTACTAGGCTTAGCTCAAGGCTCAGGTCTCCATCCTTTAGTGAATCTCCTGGCTGAACTAGACCCTGTTAGGGTTTATCTACCCGGAGTGGGGAAAGAACCTTGGCTGATGAGCAAAAAGGGCAAATCTCCTGCCAGGTTCCAAACCAGGGACCCGTTCAACTGTCAAGTGAAATTGGTCACTGGTCTGCCATAGAAAGCAGAGTGTGGAGGTGACAGCAGGGGTCACTGCAGGTCTGGACTTTATTTAGCATGTACATAGTCATCTAGCCAAGTGATGGCATCTTCAATGGCGTGATGCAGTTCTTCTAGGCCACAGCTGGACTGAGGCATGTTAGCACTGCTGGGAGGCTGGGGAGGACAGCACTGGAATAGCAGGAGGTACTGCAGGTCAGGCTTGAGATGTGGAGGTGCTCAGATACCATGGTGATGGGAGTACTATACAATCTCCATAGGTAGAGAAGTAGGCGTCAGATGGCACAGCTGCACTGAGTGGAAGATGGGGTGAGGAACCTGGTGACTTCCTGATCTCTTCTCAGGACCATCCTTTCATTGCTCTATTAATGGAGAGAGGAGCAAGAACTCAGAAGGAGAAGAGAAGAAGAGGAGGAGGAGAATCTGTGGGGAAGGATTATGGTATGGGTGTCACCTTAATAGATTAGATTGAAGTGAACCTGGATGGCAGCATTATTAGATGGAAAGTGCTTTCTAAGCATTAGGTATAATTATTATGACTGCCCCTGCTGAGGGAAGTGTGTCATTCTTTCCCTTTGCTTCCATCACATACAGCCTGTCTTGGAGGAGTGATCATTCTTGTAAGTGTGAAATATGAATGATGGTTTTCTCTTTCCTGGGCAGTTTGTCATTTCTGGATCCCTCTCGGTTGCAGCTGAGAATCATCGCAACACCTGTTTGGTGAGTTTCTAGATATTGTTTCCTCCTCTTCCTTAATGTGGGGGATACTCAGAGTTTAGCTCTGCTTCGCCCAGGGCACTATCCAGGAAGAGAGTTGCTGATGAGAGAGCAAAGAGCTTGTTCATCAAGAACATGGAGAAGGAATGTTGGAGAGGGAGAAGGTGGGAGAGGTAATATCATTTATTGGACCAGCTTCTGTTGGAACATGTGTTGGAGAGGAAGACAGAAGAGACCAATAGGGAGCTGGAGGAGAAATGGAGATACTTTAAATCACTCCCTGCCGTCTGCCTCAGTATTCTTAGTGATGCTGAACTGAGAGCCAGTAGAGCTGAGTTAATTCCTCACTCTGCCGGAAACCTTGGGCAAGTCTCTTCACCACTCTGTGTTTCACTATCCCTCTTGTGTGTTTAGATCATAAGCTCTTGGGGGCAGGGACTGTATATGTGTGTGTATGTACAGCACCCTGCACAATGAACAACCAGTCTCAATTGGAACCTCTAGCTGTTATCATAGTAAGAGTCAGCTGGGCTTATCTAACTTTCCCAAAGAAGTTCAGGGTTTGAGTTGAGTGTAAGGTTCAGGCTGGTTCTTATATCTTCTTTCTATTAAATTTTTATTTAAAATTTCTCAGTATATACTGTGACAAAGTTCCTCCTCTACCTTGGTGGGTCTTGCGCTTATTGGCAGATTTGCTCACCTTGGAGCTTCGCGGCAGCCCTCAGTTTGGCCGTTTTCATGAACCCACAGTCCAGGTCAACTCCTCCTGTGTCTGACCAGGAGTTGGGAGGTTTGGGGGGAACCCGGGCCCACCCTCTACTCCGGGTTCCAGCCCAGGGCCCTGTGGAATGCAGCTGTCTAGAGTGCCTCCTGGAACAGCTGTGCGATGGCTACAACTCCCTGGGCTACTTCCCCATGGCCTCTTCCCAACACCTTCTTTATCCTCACCATAGGATCTTCCTCCTGGTGTCTGATAATGCTTATACTCCTCAGTCCTCCAACAGTATGTGTTCTCATTCTCAGCTCCTAGTGCCTTTTGCTCCCAGCTCCTTACACACACACCACAAACTGAAGTGAGCTGCTTTTTAAACCCAGGTGCCCTGATTAGCCTGCCTTAATTGATTCTAGCAGCTTTTTGATTGGCTGCAGGTGTTCTAATCAGCCTGTCTGTCTTAATTGTCTCCAGAAGGTTCCTGATTGTTCTGGAACCTTCCCTGTTACCTTACCCAGGGAAAAGGGACCTACTTAACCTGGGGCTCATATATCTGTCTTCTATTACTCTCCTGTAGCCATCCGGCCCAACCCTGTCACAATACAGAATAAATAAACTATATGGACACTTTTCATAATACAGTAACCATTTGCTACCTAATCTTAGCTGTACTTGAAACATTTAATTATTCATATGTATATATATAATATGAATGGTTAAAATATAAATCAATTATTTGTATTATACAATTTACAAACAAGCAAAATTTGTTTATAAAAATCCAACTAATTAAACCAAAAAAATTAAGTTAACCTAAAGAATAGAAGCAAAGTTCAGAGGAGGGGATTAGAGATGCGGAGGAAATGAAATGGGTAAAGAGGAGGGAGAAGTAAGGGAGCTCATTCATTTAACAGGATCATTCAAATACTTCCAGGAGAGCATCCCATATCTCTGAGAATTTTTCTTGGGTATGTCTGTTACAATACACACGTCTTTCCATGGTGGCCACACTTATGATATCTATGCTCCAGTCATCAATTGTTGGTCATTCTTTGGATTTCCATGCTTGCAGTACTGGTCTCGTAGTACTAGTGCTCTGCTTAGCCAAAGTTTTTCAGATTTATTCACCTTCCAGTTAACATCCATTGGGGTTAAAATTACATTTTTGGCTGGTAACACAATTTTATCTGACAGGAAAAAGGTGACTCTGCAATTAAGTTCTGCCCAAAACATATGAGTGCTGGAGCATTCCCAGAACACACAGGTGGGCTGGTTCTTATTTTAACCAAACCTGTTCTCTGCCTACACACAGCCTGACCCTCTGCACGTCTCTTTCAGATGAGAGGCAGCCTGGGAATGAACATCACTAGCGCCATCTTCTCAGCCATTGGGATCATTCTCTTGCTAACGGAGCTGATTATTAATGCATCAAATTACAGCTACACTTATGAAGTATTTCTTTTGTTGGTAAGTGACCAGACTCTGCCATAGAACCATAGAAGTATAAGGCTGGAAGGGACCGAGGTCGTCCAGCCCATCCCCCTGCACAGAAGCAGGGTTACGTCTACCTGGAGCATTCCTAACAGGTTTATTTAAAATACCAGGTACCTGGAATTGTCCCAAGCCTTTGACCCCAGGGTAGAAACTATCCATGTCTTCAGCTCCAGACTTTCTGATTTGGTTCTGCTGGATAAAGCCAGTGTCAAAACTCCTGTCAATGTTAAAAATCAGACGGGGACCATGTTTTTCTTCTGTTTTTACAGCACCAAGCACAATATGGTCCTGATCTATGACTGGGATTTCCAGGCGCTTTCAACATACAAATTTAGAATAACTCCTGTTGATTTCAGCAGGAGTGGACCCAAATGTCTGTTTTATTTTATTTAACCCCACTTTGCACGGATGGGGCACTGAGGCACAGGGAAGTGAAGCCACTTGTCCAAAGTCACATGCAGGAAAGTGGTAGAACTCAGAACTGAACCCAGCTCTTCTGAGTTCTATTCCATTGTTTGAGCGACTAGGCCACACAGCCTCCCCTAGGCTTTATGATCCTCCATCTTCACAAATGGCTGCATCTCAGGGACACTGATTCCTGTAGATCCAAGAGAAAACAGAAGTCTATGATCTCCTGACAGTGGTGTGGCTCCAGGCATCACAATTACCAGGGCTGCTGAACAGTTTCAATGAGGAGAAGAATTCTGTGTGCCTGGGAGGAGGGAAGAACTGGAACCGAATTTCTGCGTCCCCAGAATTGGACTCCCCACTACGTTCCCTTGGAGGGAAAAGAGGGGTTTTTATGTACCTCATGGCACCCCTGTGCAGTGTGTTACCTCTAGCAGTCAAAATTAATTAGCATCCCCTGTGGTTTTGTGCTCTCCAGAGTGCCGGGAAGGGGATCACGTTCATGCTGCTTTTGTTCACCATCCTGGAGTTTTCCATTGCCGTCTCAACCGCATACTTTGCATCCCAAGCCATCCGCTATACCCCCAACACTGTGAGTCTTTCAGCTCTCAAACGGGATGTGAGTCAGATCATGTGTTGAATGGAAGAGAAGATGTCTGCCTGAACAAAGTGCCCACCCTGATGGGAGGAGTGTCCCTGGGGAAGGACCTGAATGTCTCTTGGGGGCCACTGAAGGGGGAAAGTGACAGCCCTTGAGTTGGGCTGGTTGAAAATTTGGTCAAATAGTTTTCTTGATGGGAAATTGGGGTTTTGACTAAATGAGAATTTTAGCAGAAAGCACCTGCTTTCTTCACAAAATATTTCCATTTTGCCTAAACACTGAACACCTGAAAACAAACTATTTAAATACAAAGTGGCACCATGCTTCTTGATGGCAGTTGTAGTTCAGCTGCGGCATGCTCCCATTTTCCTCTATGGGCTGCGTTCTCTAGCTGGACTACATCTCCCATGATGCACCATTGCCAGGGCCCCTGTGACACATCCCCCTCCTCTCCCCAACAAAGGGAAAGTGGTAAATCATGGGAGATATAGTCCTGCCAGTGACCATGGCTCTTAGAGGACAATAGAAGTTGTGATGCACCATGGTTGCACGTTGAATCAAAATATTTTGGCGGTTGACAGATTTTTGTTGACATTTTTGGCAGAGGAAATTGCCCATTTTCTGGCCCTTTTTATCCTGATTCCTAACCAGGCTGCTAACACCATGGTCCAAGTGAATGAATTTTTTTTATGGGAGGGGGAAATAATCCCAGTTTTCACTGCCACCACATTGACCTTCATTGTCAGTGGTTTAATTTCCATATATCAGAGGGGTAGCCTTGTTAGACTGGTCTGTAAAAGCGGCAAAGAGCCCTGTGGCACCTTATAGACTAACCGATGTATTGGAACATAAGCTTTCATGCATGCATCCGACGAAGTGGGTATTCACCCATGAACGCTTATGCCTTAATTTCCACAGGGATTCATTTTATCTCTCTGTGCCAGGTGGGGAGGAACAGGAGACTGTAACTGGGCCAGAACCTGAACTGCAATCCCTCGTTTTTGTGCCACTGAAAGTCACTGGCTGTCCTCAGCAGAGAATTCCCTTGGCACAGAATTCCCACCTGGCACCACCAGCCCTTACTCTCTTGGTGGAGGGCATGCACTGAGGGCACGGTCAGAGTCCCTTGTATTCCAGCAATACCTTGGGGGAAGAGGCGCCATCTTTCTCAGTTGCTGGGGGGTGCTCAACCCCCGTTCTGCCCCAGGCCCCAACCCCACTCCACATCTTCCCCAAGCCCCTGCCCTGCCTCTTCCTGCTCTGCCTCTTCCCGCCCTGTTCTGCCCCCTCCCCCAAGCGTGCCCCTCACTCCTTCCCATCCCCCACCCCTAGCACCTCCTGCATGCCGCTGAACAGCTGAGCACGGCAGGCAGCAGGCGCTGGGAAGGAGGGGAAGGAGCTGATCAGAGGGGCTGCCGGTGGGCTGGAAGCACTGGGGGGAAGGGTGAGAAGCTGATCGGGGGGGCTGCCAATGGGTGCTGAACACCCACTATTTTTTATGTGAGTGCTCCAGGGCTGGAGCATCCACGGAGTCAGTGCCTATGCTTGGGGTCATCACCAGCCTTGATGTTTTAGAGCAGCTGTTGGGACTAACACAGAGCCACCCATGGAGTCATGATGCTGCAAACTCCCCTCCCAAAAGCTACAGCTGTGGACATTCCCTAGAGGGACAATGTTTCTAGCCAGACAGCAAAATAAATGAATCCAGGCAACAAAAACTCCTTGTTTGGGGTCAACTCACTGCTGTGATGCTGGTGTAGAATCTGACCTTCCCAAGGCTGTCTGCCTCCCATTCAGCAGTTCTCAGGGCGGTTCCTCTGAGCACCTTTGCATAACAAAGGGAGTTGCTGAGGTGAGGTTGACCCTTGTTGACATGGGAGTAAGTAATCTCACACACTGATGGACTAACATTTTCTCAAACTGTGGTAAAACTGTGTTTTTATGAAGAACCCCCCCTCCCCCCGTTTTTGTCTAAATTTTCCACAGACCTTTTTTATTTTTTTCAGCAGCAATTGTAATACTACAATATTTTGACAAAACCAAAATATTTCAGTTTGGAAATACTGCCATGGTGCCTGATAGGGGTTGTAGTTTGAATGCCTCATGTTGCCATTCTCTTACGTAGGCCAAGCGCCTTGGCCTGACTACAACTCCCATGATGCGAAATTGCCTCCCCTCTTGGTGAGGGGAGGTTGTTGTATCCTAGGCATCCCTGGTCATGGTGCGTCATGGGAAATGTAGTCTAGCCTGTGTTCCTGACCCATAGCGAAGAATTGGGACACCAGGCGACCAAACTGCATCTCCTATGAGCATCTCCAAATTGAAATCTTTCGGATTTCAGGCACTCTTTTGAGGTGAAAAATTTAATTTTTCCCAGGAAACAGGATACTTTTCATGAAATATTTCACAGAAAAGTTTGGGGCTTGTTCATTTTTGGTTCTTTTTGTTTTGTTTTTTGGAGGGTTTTTTTGTTTTGTTTTTTAAAATCAGCATTTCGACAGGAAATTTTCAAGCATCCCTAGCAAGAAGCAGAGAGGAATGCTCTGTGGCATAGTGAGACCTACCACATTAACCCTTTAAGTGCATCTCAGCAAATCTGCTGCAGTCAGGACCGAAGAGAACCTCTAGTTTCTTTATCCAAAATGTCATCACTATATCAAGAGACCAGAGTTATGTTCGTGACACCTGAGACCCATGCAACTACACAAAGAAAATCCTACCAATAGTGAGTAGGGGGTTGATAGTGATGATGGCACAGATTCATCCTTGTTGTAATGCCAGTCAGTACAGGAGATTTACACGTGGGATGCACCTGTCCCAGTTATACCAACTAGAGGGATTAGGAAGACGATGGTGGTAGTGTTGAAAAATGTGTTGATGAAAGGGAGTGGAAGAGTGAGGAAGGTGATGGGGGTGAGCATGGAAGACTGAGAAAGGTGATGGGGGTGAAGAATGTGAGGAAGATGATGGAGCGAGAATAGAGGGGTGAGGAAGGTGATGGTTGTGGGGATGAGAATGGAGATAATGATGTTACCAGTGAGGACTGATCTCTTTTGTTCTGCAGGCCATGTTGTTCATGCCATATGTTGCCAATGCAAATGTTGGGGTTCCTTCTGCACAAATGGCCTCTCCAGAACCTCACACCAATGTGGCTTAGACCCCAAAGACGAGACCGAGTAATGGGCTTCATAACGAACTCCTACCAGAGATTGCTCCAGCTGTGGCTCCTATTGAGAAGTAAAATCCAATGTAAATGAATTACACAAAGTTCTGTATTAATATGCCTAGTAAGGAATCTATTTGTCAAAAAAAAATGTACCAGACTTTTATGGGGGGGGGGGTCTGTATTGTTACAGACATACTTGCTGACCGATATTTTGAAATAAATTACCAAAATAATTGTAACTTGCATTAGTATATTGTGATATTTTAACAAATAAAATATATGCAGATTGTTCCTTCCTGAGTGCAGTACTTTGAATTTGTCCTTATTGAATTTCATCCTATTTACTTCAGACCATTTCTCCAGTTTGTCCAGATCCTTTTGAATTTTTATTCTATCATCCAAAGAATTTGAAACTGCTCCCAGCTTGGTATCATCCTTAATCTTTATAAGTGTACTCTCTCTGCCATTATCTAAATCAGAGGTCAGCAACCTTCGGCATGTGGCCCATCAGGGTAATCTGCTGGTGGTCCGTGAGACATTTTGATGACATTGACGGCCCCCCGCAGCTCCCAGTGGCCGTGGTTCACTGTTCCCACCCAATGGGAGCTGTGGGAAGCGGTGGCCAGCACGCCCCTATGGCCCGCCGCTTCCTGCAGCTCCCATTGGCCAGGAACGGCAAACCGCGGCCACTGGGAGCTGGAGGGGCTGTGCCTGTGGATGGTCAATGTCAGCAAAATGTCTCGCAGCCCACCAGCGAATTACCCTGATGGGCCGCATGCGGAAGGTTACCAACCCCTGATCTAAATCATGGACAAAGATATTGAACAGAACAAGACCCAGAACTAATCTCTGCGGGACCCCACTCAACATACCCTTCCAGCTTGACTGTGAACCACTGATAACTACTGTCCGGGAATGGTTTTCAGTTATGCACCCACATTATAGTAGCTCCATCTAGGTTGTATTTCCCTAGTTTATTTATGAGACAGTCATGTGAGTCAGTTTCAAAAACCTTACTGACATCAATATATACCACATCTACCCCTTCCCCCATCCACAAGGCTTGTTACCCTGTCAAAGAAAGCTACTAGGTTGTTTTGACATGATTTGTTCTTGACAAATCCATGCTGACTGTTACTTATCACCTTATTATCTTCTAAGTGTTTGCAAATTGATTGCTTAATCATTTGCTCCATTATCTTTCTGGTTACTGAAGTAACCTGATGGGCCTGTAATTCCCCGGTTTTCCTTATTTTTTTTTTTTAATGGGAACTATATTTGCTCTTTTCCAGTCCTCTGGAATCGCACCTGTGTACCATGACTTTTCAAAGATAATCGCTAATGGCTCAGATATCTTCTTCAGTATTCCAGGATGTATTATATCAGGTGCTGCGACCTGAAGACATTTAACTTGTCTAAATAATTTTTAACTTGTTCTTTCCCTAGTATAGCCTCTGATCCTACCACATTTTCACTGACATTGACTATTTCAAACGTCCAATCGCTACTACCTTTTTTTGGGTGAAAACTGAAACAAAAAAGTCATTTCCACATTTTCTGTTATTGTTCCCCCGCACCCTCCATTGAGTAACAGGCCAACCCTGTCCTTGGTCTTCCTCTTGCTTCGAATGGATTTGCAGAATGTTTTCTTGTTACCCTTTATGTCTCTAGCTAGTTTAATTTCATTTTTTGCCTTGGCCTTTTTAATTTTGTCCCTACATACTTGTGATCTTTGTTTATATTCAGCCTTTGTAATCTGACCTAGTTTCCACATTTTGTAGGACTCTTTTTTTGTATTCCTGATCATTGAAGATCTCCTGATTAAATTCATTTAGTCCTAGTCATTTGCTTGCATGTGACAAATCCCTTCAGTTCATAGCACAGAAGCAGTGACAGGCCCTTTTCATGCCAAGTGGCTAGTCAAAGTTTGGAGCCCTGTGGGTGTTCCAGTTGGGAGCAGAAATTGGTGCTAGCCAGGTGGTTCTTTGATACAGTTGTGTTTCTTTTCAAGAAATGTTCAAAGTCCTTGGTCTCTGAATGCAGACAGAAGCAAATAGCAGGAAACAGCTTCTTTTGCTCACAGCACCAAGGACACCCTTTTAGCCTGCTCCCTGACCCAAAAACCTCTTTCCCAGTGTTTTCCAGGGTCAGCCACCACACTTTCAGCTGCTCCTTCAGGCTGCCTGCCTCTCTCTTAGGGTATGTCTACACTACAGCAGCACAGCTCTGGCACCTCTGGGCCATTGTTTGAATGCTTTCTACATCGACAGAAGGGATTTTTCCATTGAGGTAGGTAATCCACTTCTGTGAGAAGCTAGATCTTCTGTCAACCTAGCCACATCGACTCCGGGGGTTCAGTGAACCTAGCTACGGTGCTTAGGGCGTGAAATTTTTCAGAGATCTGAGCAATCTGGTGAGGTTGACCTAAGATTTAAGTGTAGACCAGGCCTCAGTCTGTCCCTGTCTGACCTCAGTTTGCGTGATCTCTTTCTCGCTTACACATACACACATGCACAAAACAATACTCAGCCAAAAACTGCTGAGAGGGTTCGCACACACCTTTTGTCTTAGATGGGGCTTAGGCTTAGAGTTATGTTAACTGAAAGGTTAACTAACAGTGTTTCGAGCCTCACCCAGAGCCCATTAAAGTTCATGGAAGGACTCCTGTCGACTCCAGGGCCTCATGACTAAGATTTTCAAAGGTGAGTAGTGATTTGGGGTACCCAACCTGAGACACCTCGCAAGGGCCTGATTTTCAGAAGGTGGGACCTCAGCACTTTCTGAACATCAGGACCCTTTAAGGCATCACAAGCTGGATATCCCCAAACCACTAGTCAGCTTGGCCCAACATCCTTACTCCCATATTCGTAACTTCACCATGGACCCAAATGAAATTAATGGGCAGCAGGTTTAAAACAAATAAAAGGAAGTTCTTCTTCACACAGCGCACAGTCAACCAAGGAACTCCTTGCCTGAGGAGGTTGTGAAGGCTAGGACTATAACAGGGTTTAAAAGAGAACTAGATAAATTCATGGAGGTTAGGTCCATTAATGGCTATTAGCCAGGATGGGTAAGGAATGGTGTCCCTAGCCTCTGTTTGTCGGAGGGTGGAGATGGATGGCAGGAGAGAGATCACTTGATCATTACCTGTTAGGTTCACTCCCTCTGGGGCACCTGGCATTGGCCACTGTCAGCAGACAGGATCCTGGGCTGGATGGACCTTTGGTCTGACCCAGTATGGCCATTCTTATGTTCTTCTTATGACCCACACAATGACAGGAGACAAAAGGTTCCTCTCCTACCATCAATGTTTGTAAACAACAGAGGCTAATAAGTGATACCATAAAAGGGAAGTGTGGTTCATAAGGGATCAAAGCACTCACTCAAATACTCTTTTGATATTGGTCAAGCCAGCCACCGGATTGTGTCACAGCACTGACGGGAAGCTGAAAGACAAGATGTGGTTGTGCTTGACTTTGTTACAGTTACACCCCTGAAGGCTTTGGCCCATGCAGGTTGACACTGAGTTGGCATCACACATTTTGTAAGAGTAGGAAACCTGCGCAGCAGAGGCTGAATTAGGCCAAATAATGGATTTTTTTAGTTCGCTGGCAATTCTGAAAAATTGAAACATTTGTTTTGAGTCAAACCAAAACTGAAATTTTTCTATACATCCGATGAGAAAATAGTCAAAACAATATTTCTGGTCAAAAGAAATTGTTTGTTTGAACCTAAATGAAATATTTTGTTTCAGTTTTAAGCAGTTTTATAACGTGTTAATTGCATTTAATAAATGTGAAGGAAATTTCTAAACAAAAAGTTGTTTTAAACCAAAAAATTGAAGTGTTACCTTTTGGATTTTTTTTGTTTTGTTGTTATTTGGGGGGTGGTCTGTTTTGTTTGAACATGAACAATTCAGCCAAAACGAAACAAATCTGTGAAACTTTTTGATGTCTCTGAATCCGAATTTTTTGCCAATAAACATTTTGGCTGAAAGATTTTGCCCAGCTCTAGCTGGACACAGGATTGCCATTCTCAACCATAGAAAAATTGTCATTCAGGTCCCCCAAAATCATGAGACTTTTTAAAAAATATTGGGTTCTTTTTACTGATATTTTGTGTCTGAGCCACTAGGGGTCATAGTTTTTTAGCTTTTCTGTGCACCCACAAGGGCTAGAAACTTACGATTTTTTAAAAAAAATGAAAGCTAAGATTCTCTCACAATCACAGGACTTCAAGAACTGGGGCTTTAAGAAAAGCACCAAATATTGCATGACTTGCAATAAAAACATCAGACTTTGTAGTGATGAGAGTCTCTCTTCATTAATTCCAAGCCCTTAAATTCTTCTCTTCCTCATTATTCACTGGCTACCTTTGAGCTAAGCATTGGGGAAGGCTGTGTGGCATCTGTCACTGATCTGTTAGGTATAAACATTGCTTGTGATAACTATCTGGTTGTGATAGGCTGGGCCATTCTCTGAGGTCACACGCAGGCAGTCTAAGTCTCTTCCTTGCTTGGGATCTTTACTTCAGCCTTTCTGGGTTCTGTGTGAGTCTTCTGATTATGGGGATGTGCAGTGTCTGAGTTTTCTTATACAGCTCTGGTTTGTATATGATGATCCAGCACAGTTGGACTCTGGGTCAGGGTTTACCTTCAACACCTACCCCATGTTGGGGACACTGGGGCATGGCCACTATGTAACTCGAGGGGATGGAAGACCACAAGTGTCGATGAAGCCCCCTTGCACTAGACCCAAGTGTCCTTGGCCTCCCCCCCCGACCTGGAGGCACTCGCAGCCGCTATGCTGAGGATCTGCAACAATATGTTGCAGAGTCAGACTGCCTGAAACTAAACAAGGCCAAACAGGGCAGATATGGAAGAACAATGCTGAATAAAGCAGCTTTATGTATGGTTTAACAAATGATACAGAGAACAAGGGAACTAGCTGGTAACTGGATTGGCTGGCTATATGGATACTTAGGGCAGCTTGCTATTGGATAAGTATGCTGAAGAAAGGGTGTATAAAAGCCTGTGTAACTTCCTGCTCTGTGTGCAGGATTTGAGATTCTATTCTCCCTGTGCCTTTTTTGCAGCTGCAAATAAACTTTTCTGCTTCTCCACCCCGTTGTGATTATTGGATGACACACACCGGGTAACGAACCCCTGCTGTTGTTTTGCCTCTTGGTACTGGGTGCCGGCAACACCATGGAGATCAGCTTGTCCTACATCTGGTAAGTTCTTGTGGGCAGCAGAGGCTTGTCAGGTGTTTTCCTCTCAGCTGCTCTGTAGCAAGAGCCAGCTGGCATTTAAGACCACAGAACCTCACAATCTCTCTTAGGGGTAAATGCCGAATAAGAAGTTCCTAAATGTTTAAGATGCTTAGTTGCTGTCCTGGGGATGCTACAGAAGGAGAGAGAGAGAGCGCCTTGGAGATGAAAACCACTCGGTAAGTCCCGAAAGCATTTATTAGAGCTGTTTGGAAAATGGGCTTTTTTCCCATAGAAAATTTCATTAAAACAAAAATGTCATTTACATCATAATTTTCAGTGGGAAATTCCTAGTTTTCTTCAAAAAACTGAAAAAATTTCAGTTTTATGGACATAAATGTTTTTTCAGGCTGTTCAGCTTTCCTCTGAAACATCAACCAATTTTGGGGAAAGCTGGAGCTTCCTCGTAACATTTTTGTTTAGTCAAAAACCAGATTTTCCTGATGAAAAGTTTTGATCAGAAAATGTCCAGCCAGCCCTCATTACTTTTGTGGCAGTTCCCTCTAGACAAAGAGGAAAAGGAAGGGTCTCATTTCATTCTGTAGTGCCCCTAGTGGCCAAAGGACAATGTTGGTGGGCTCCTACGGGGAGCCCCATGTGTTCTGAGCCAGAAGGGATGGTGATTGGGGTGGGGAAAAGGCATAAGAGGGACTCTGAGGGGGATGAAGAAAAAACATCCAAAGGGGAAGAGGACTTTGGAGTCCTGCAATAAAACAAGGCAGAGAGACAGGGAGGAGCTAAGCATAACAGGCAGGGCAGGATTCAAAGTCTGATGCTATTAAAATCCCTTTTGCATGAGCCTGTGAGAATTTCCCGATGACTCTGGGAGTTGCCCACAGCTGGAAGGAGGACAGTAGCTGCAGCGAAAACAGAGTAAGTTCATCAGCGCAAACATTCTTAGGGTGACGGTTAAAATTGGGTGTTGGGGGCCATACTGGGGGAGGCAGTGGGGACACCCTGACAAGGACCCTTGTAATTTATGCCTCTAGAGTTGAGGGGAAATAAGGTCAGAATTTAAAGAGCAGCAGATCCCATTACCTGACAAGCAGGGGAGAGAGGAGAGGAGGAGAAATTTGTGGCTCAAAGGCATATGCTCCTGTGACAGCAAGCGGCACCTCTCAGACCTCTAGAAAATGTTCATACAGAAGGATGGAGCAGTGACACAACTTGCTTGCATTCACCCAAAGCTTTTCATGCATCAGCTGCTCTCCACTACGTGGCGCTAGCCAGTGGGTAAAAGGGGCAAGGTTCAGAGATTGAGATGGTCTTGACACGGTCTGTGATGTCTCCTGTCTAATAACAGTTGGCTCTGGGGTGAGCACTTGGTGCTTCCAAAGGGAGGTGCCTCTGGCAAACGTGGTGTCAATCGGCCACCTTCCCACCCCCACAACCAGGGCTGGCTCTACAGTTTTTGCTGACCCCAGCAGTGAATAAAACTGCCACTGCAGACGGCAAAAGGGACAAACTGCCGTCGATTTGCCGCTGCGGCCGGCGGGACAGAGAAGCTGCCGCCGAATTGCCGCCGCGGCCGGCGGGACAGAGGGGCTGCCGCCGAATGGCTGCCACCACGGAAACACTGCAGCCCCTTTCTAACTGCCGCCCCAAGCACCTGCTTGGACCACTGGTGCCTGGAGCCAGCCCTGCCCACAACATCCCCCAGCCAAGGAACAAAGTACTCTGGCCTGGACCGTGAAAGGGAAACAGAAATTGGACAAAAGGGGGTTGCACAGGTTGGAGAGAATAGAATCTCTGGGAAGGAAGAGACAGTCCTGACTATTCCCATGGCCCTTTAGCCTTTCCTTCCTCCTTACTATCCACATAGGTTAGAATGGCATTTAGATTGAGAGCTTTCAGGGCCTGAAGGAATCATTATGGTCATCTAGTCTGATCTCCTCTGTAACAGAGGCCAAAGAACTTCCCCCCCAGGGATTTCAGCATCAAGCCTCTTAATTCCTGCTTGCACTAAACTGAATGTATGTAGCAATTCATACAGCAGCCAGCCACTACATCTTGTTATGCCTTTGTCTGCCAAATGAAAGAGCTCTCTCTCCTTAGAAATCATCTCCCCACTTATAGATCATGACCATAACCTGCTTTCCAGTGCTTGTTAACACTTAAAAAATATCTGGAGCCTCTTAACAAGCCAAACCTAGCAGCAGCTGGGAGCATTGTGAAGACTGGCCCCTTATGGGGTTAGTGCTGTACACTGCCATGCGGGTGCACCTGTAAATGTCTCGCAAACTAGGAAATACACATATAACCCTCTGGAGCCATATTTCTTTTGGAGTGTTGGGAGATTATTAATAAGCCTTTGTGCTGTTAACTAGAGCCGGTTCAAAATTTCATTTTTTTCCAGAGAAAAATTCAATTTTCAGTGGAAATCTGAATACCAAAATATTTTCATTTGGAAATGCTGAGTCACAGGAGTGGTCATTCCTTGCCTCATTGCCCCCCTTTTGCTCTGTAGCCCAGGAATCCTAGTCAGACATCTCCTATGGTGCACCATGGTCCTTCTTCCTGGTAATGGACACAGTGCATCATGGGAGTCCATGGCACATGATGGGGGATGTAGTCCAGCCAAGGAGCTCAGCCTGCAGAGGAGTATGGGGATATGCGGCAACTGAACTACATATCCCATGAGGCACCACAGCAGTATAGCTGAATTGTGATGTTTCCAGTTTAGAGCTTTCAGTTTTTTTATGCAAACGTGAAGTTCTGTGCAAAGGAGACCCTTTCCACACACACAAATATCCACTTAATGGAAAACCCAATTTTCCAGCAAAAAACAGTTTTGATGGAAAATTTTTGGCCAGCTCTTTTGTAAATGCTTTCGGGTCTGATCCCATGCCTTTGAAGTTAACGGGAATGTTTCCTTCGCTTCAATGGGAGCAACACCAGAGCCTCTGTGCCAAAGAACCCGAGTTAATTTCACCCTCTATCAACCCTAGGATAATCAGTTACACAGCTCTGGAAAATTCCATCCCAAAAACTGAATGATCCAGAAAGTTAAAAGCACCTGGAAAAGGAGGGGTGGAATGGAGACACTTGAGCTCCTTGGCTGAGATTTTAAAAGCCAACGAGACTGTTTTGCCACACAAACCCCATTGAAATTAATGGGAGTTGTGTGGCTGAATCCTTGAGTCAGCTTTCGGAATCTCAACCCTTAGCTTTACGGTGTTGCTCGTGCTCCAATTATAGCTCCAGGAGAAGGACAAAATCATGGCAGGGACTCAAAGGGGGTTGAGCAATAGGTAACGAAGATTCCTACTCAGCATGGCCCAGGGGCTAATTTTGGGACTAGTGTTATTACATATGGCTTCATCTGGGCTAATCACTCTTTTCTGCAGCATCTTCGCCATCATGGCAGCACCAGGAAGCATGGCCGATGGGGTGCTTGTGTTCATGCCCCCAAACAGCGCTGGTGTCATCCACCAAGGCCAGGGGGGATCTAGTGCCATTTCCCAGACTCCTGGGATGGTGCAATGTGGGCCTCAGCAGTTCACAGTCATGAACCCTGGGAACCAACCTCTTGGGTCAACGTACCCCAGGTGTCCCGCTGAACAGATCGCACAGCTAAGAAACGTAGGGATGATGGAGATATTCCTCAAAGCACAGCCCAAGACCCTAGGGGTAAGTGTGATCTTTGCTCCCAGTCCATGAGGATGAGTCATTTCAATACCGAAGGGCCTGAACAGTGGCTGAAGGCCTGAGCATGAGCAAACTCCAGATTCCACCCTTTTCTTTTTTACTTTAACCAACAGCTTTATGGGAAGGATGCCAAGAAGCTGGTACCATCAGGCCTCTTCCTGAGACTTCATTGCTTTGTAGGGGGTGGTGGATGGAAATACACCCAGAGTTCCAGGGGCACTGAATCCTCCTAGCTGCCCAAACAGGGAGAAATGAGGATTAATCAAGCAAAAGAGAAACAGGGGGAAAGGATTATAAACCAGCTATTTCTGGAACTAATGGAACAAAACAGCCCCATCTTGGGGAGGTGGGGATGGCTATTAAACTGGTGTAAATCAATGTAGCTTCATTGTGCTAATTCACTCCGGCCGAGGATCTGGTCTGAGAAGAAGCAGTTCAAACCCAGAGTCCTACTCCTAGTTACTGCAGTGCAGAGCTGATTCCATTCAGCCTTGCGCTGCTAGTGAAAACAACCAACCTGCAACTTCTATTCATCAGTCTACATGGATAAGGCAATGATTGGTTGTTTATTTACAATTATGTAAATAAATAAGCAAATCCATTAATAGATCTGAAGTCCAAAAGGGACCCCTGACCTCCTGTATATCACAGCCCAGAGAACCTTCCTGCTGAGGGGACCATTGGGGGGAAGAGGGGAGCGTGGGGAGGTTGACATTTTTCAATGGGAAATGTAGTTTCCACAAAAATCAAAGATTTCCATTGGAAAAATCAAAACAAAATATTTTGGTTTTGGGTTGGGTCTTCCCAAATCAAACTACCTCAATTTGTCAAACTGAACTGTTTCCTCTCAAGTCAGTTTGACATTAAACTGCACCCACGTGAGCTGCTACGATGCCTCAAGGAAGTTGAGGTGATTCTTCCCAATAGGACTGGCTCCCTATTCCAAACTACGCCTTCCCAGCTGCACTGCGGTCGTCTCTTTTACTGAACCATCATGGTATGCCATGAGAGTCCCATGATTCTGCATGTGAGATGTAGTCCATGTAGGAAGTCTAGCCCATAGAAGAGAATGGGACCCCAACTACAACTCCTAAAGGGCAACGGTTTGACAAACTGAAATGAAATGTTTAACATTTTCCAAACTGAAAATTTTCAGATTTCAGATTAAAACAACAGTCTAAAGATCAGAATTTCTCACAGGATGGAGCTCTCATCAGCTCTGTTCAGGACAGGGTGCTCTGCTCATCCCCAAGATGGGGGGGAATTGGCTCCTCTTACTTCCCCATTCTCTTCCCACAGGCCATCCAGATCTTGATTGGGCTGATACACATCGGCTTTGGAGGTGTCTCTACAATTTTCATTAAATACATTGCTGTCTCTGGCATCGTGGGGTACCCGTTCTGCGAAGGAATTTTTGTGAGTAGAATAATTTAATGCTTTTATGAAATGATGGCATGACCACATGGATAAATAATAATTGTATATTATTAAAGCTCTAAATGGACACAAATCAGTCATCAGGAATTGTAACATACAAAAGCCAGTAGGAGAACACTTCAATCTCCTTGGACATTCTATAACAGATTTAAAAGTAGCCATACTTCAACAAAAAAAACTTCAAAAACAGACTTCAAAGAGAAACTGCAGAGCTTCAATTCATTTGCAAATTTAACACCATTAATTTGGGCTTGAACAGGGACTGGGAGTGGCTGGCTCACAAAAAAAGCTATTTTCCCTCTCTTGGTGTTGACATCTCTTCATCAATTATTGGGAGTGGACCACATCCACCCTGATCGAATTGGCCCTGTCAGCACTGGTTCTCCACTTGTAAGGTAACTCCCTTCTCTACATGTGTCAGTATATTTATGCCTGCATCTGTAATTTTCACTCCATACATCTGAAGAAGTGGGTTTTTTTACCCACGAAAGCTTATGCTCAAATAAATCTGTTAGTCTTTAAGGTGCCACCAGACTCCTCAATCTGCATTAATCTGTATCATGCAGTGCCCCGGAATAGGCTTCTAAAAACCTTCCCCATGTGCCACCTTAGTCCCCCAGTAAAACCCACCTACATGTGCTTGAAAGACAGGAGCCTTCCACCAACTACCACTCTCACAATCCCTGCTATCTTACCTTGTCCTGGCTTCTCGTTTTGAAAATCTGCTCACCCTCTTCACCAAAACTGTCTTGTTGGGCTGGTGTTAAGGGCCAAGATGCTGTGAAGTCCCTGCCTTAGCCCCTCTCCAGGGCCGACGTTGGCACTCAGACACCTGTGAAGTCACTGGCTCAGCACTTCTGCCTACTGGGCTGTTGTCAAGGCCCAAGCCTTTGTGAGGTCACTGTCTGAGCATCTCTAGCTTACTAGGCTGAGGTCAAGGCTCAGGTCTCTGTCCCTTTGCAATTCCCCTGGCTGAACTGGGCCTTGTTAGGGTTTTATCTACCCTGAATCGGGGGTGGAGGCGAGGAACATTGCCTGATGAGCAAAAAGGGCAAATCTTCTGTCACCTTCCAACCAAGGGACTATTCAACTCTTAAGTGAAATTGGTAACTGCTTCACCACAGACAGCAGAGTATGGAGGTGACAGCAGGAGGCACTGCAGGTCTGGATTGAGGCATGTTAGCACAACTGGGAGGCTGCAGAGGACAGGTAAGGTGACCAGTTTTTCAAAAGGCAAAAGTAGGACACATGCAGAAGCCCCACGCTCCGTGTGGCCCTGCCCCCTGGACCTCCTCTTCCCCCAAAGCCCCACCCCTCAGCCAGGCTGGAAGCCAGAGCCAAGCCATGTGGTAAGAGTGGCCCAGGGAGCCCAGGACACTGTGGGGAGCCCCAGATCCTCCATCTGCCCTGAGCAGGGGGCTGGGGGACCTGAGAGCAGCCCCCAGCCTGTGTCCCCACTACAGGTCAGTCTTGAAATGTAGAGGTACTCCAATCCCATGGTGATGGGAGTATTATACAACTTCCATAGGTGGAGACATAGGCAGAGGATGGCACAGCTGCATTGGATGGAAGGTGGGGTGAGGAACCTGGTGACTTCCTGAGCTCTTCTCAGGACCATCCAGTCATTGCTCTATTTATGGGGAGAAGAGCAAGCTCAGTTGTCAAAAAGGAGCAAGAACTCAGAAGGAGGAGAGAATCTGGGGGGAAAGATTATGGTATGGGTGTCACCTTAACTGATTAGATTGAAGTGAACCTGGATGGCAGCATTATTAGATGGAAAGTGCTCTCTAAGCACGAGGTATAATTATTATGACTGCCCCTGCTGAGAGAAGTGTCATTCTTTCCCTTTGCTTCCATCACATAGAGCCTGTCTCAGAGGAGAGATCTTTCTTGTAAGTGTGAATGATGGTTTTCTCTTTCCCGGGCAGTTCATCATTTCTGGATCCCTCTCGGTTGTAGCTGAGAATCGTGGCAACATCTGTCTGGTGAGTTTCTAGAGAATGTTCCCATCCCTTTCCTAACAGGAGGGGGCGGATGATTCTCAGAGTTTAGCTCTGCTTCACCCAGGGCACTATCCAGGAAGAGTGGCTGATGGGAAAGAGCAGAGTGCTTGATCAAGAACATGGAGAAGGAATGTTGGAGAGGGAGAAGGTGGGGGAGGTAATATCATTTACAGGACCAATTTTTGTTGGAACTTGTATTGGAGAGGAAGACAGAAGAGACAGGGTGGTGAAGCACTGGAATGGGTTACCTAGGGAGGTCGTGGAATCTCCTTCCTTAGAGATTTTTAAGGTCAGACTTGACAAAGCCCTGGCTGGGATGATTTAGTTGGGGTTGGTCCTGCTTTGAGCAGGGGGTTGGACTAGATGACCTCTTGAGGTCCCTTCCAACCCTGATATTCTATGATTCTATGACAAATAGGGAGCTGGAAGAGAAATGGGGATACTTTAAACGGCTCCCTGCTGTCTGCCTGCTGTATCTGTAGCAGCAGCTTGTGGCTCAACAACCACCTTCAATTTTTCTACTGACACATAAACCTCAATTAAGAGCCCAATAGAAAGGAGTCCAATAGAAAGAAAAGCTGCAAACTTTTCAGCCAGGCTACCAGGGAGCAAAAGAAAGACAAAGTGTCCAGGGAGGCTGAAAAAGAATTAGAAGAATTAGTTAGAAGAATTAAAGTAACCAGAAATATATTCAAAATAGTGAAAAGAAGCGGACTTCCAGCTAGGCCCCTACTGAGCAAAGCACTAAGGGTATGTCTACACTACGAAATTAGGTCGAATTTATAGACATCGATTTTTATAGAAGCGATTTTATACAGTTGATTGTGTGTGTCCACACTAAGCACATTAAGTCAACGGAGTGCGTCCACAGGACCATGGCTAGCGTCGACTTCCGGAGCATTGCACTGTAGGTAGCTATCCCACAGTTCCCATAGTCTCTGCCACCCATTGGAATTCTGGGTTAAGCTCCCAATGCCTGATGGGGCAAAAACATTGTCGTGGGTGGTTTTGGCTACATGTCGTCAGTTGCCCCTCCCTCCGTGAAAGCAACGGCAGACAATCATTTCGCGCCTTTTTTTCCGTGCGGACACCATGCTGCTTTCAGCAGATGATGCAGTAGGACTGCAAACCATCATCATCCACCGCTTCTGCTGCACCTCTGCTCTCCTGCAGACGCCATACCATGGCAAGCGTGCAGCCCGGTCAGCTTAGCTCACCAACACTGCCACTGTTGTGTTCTGGTGCTGCTGGCAGCAGACGGTGCAGTAGACCTGCTAACCATCATCATCCACCTCTTCTGCTGCAACTCTGCTCTGCTGCTATTATCTCAATAGCTAATTTCTCCATGTTGTCTGTCATGGGCTCCCGGGTACGTGTGTTCTTCCTTGGGAAACGTGCGTGGTGCTAACCGTCGTTCTCCACCACTTCTGCTGCAACTCTGCTCTCCTGGTCTCATGAATCCACCTCGCAGGTCCTCTCGTCATTCTCTATAAATATCTATTCTCGTGGCATCCGTCGTCAGCCATCGCTTCCGCTGCAACTCTGCTCTCCTGCAGACGCCATACCACGGCAAGCATGGAGCCCGCTCAGATCTCTGCGGCAGTTATGAGCATTGTAAACACCTTATGCATTATCCTGCAGTATATGCAGAACCAGAACCTGCAAAAGCAGGCGAGGAGGTGACGGCAGCGTGGTGACGAGAGTGATGAGGACATGGACACAGACTTCTCTCAAAGTACGAGCCCCAGCAATTTGGACATCCTGGTGGCAATGGGGCAGGCTCATGAAACGAGGACAGACTGGTGGGACGGCATAGTTTTGCAGGTCTGGGATGATTCCCAGTGGCTGCGAAACTTTTGCATGCATAAGGGCACTTTCATGGAACTTTGTGACTTGCTTTCCCCTGCCCTGAAGTGCAAGAATATCAAGATGAGAGCATCCCTCACAGTTCACAAGCAAGTGGCAATAGCACTATGGAAGCTTGCAACGCCAGACAGCTACCGATCTGTCGGGAATCAATTTGGAGTGGGCAAATCTACTGTGGGGGCTGCTGTGATCCAAGTAGCCAACGCGATCACTGAGCTGCTGCTATCAAGGGTAGTGACTCTGGGAAATGTGCAGGTCATAGTGGATGGCTTTGCTGCAATGGGATTCCCTAAATGTGGTGGGGCAATACACGGAACGCATATCGCTATCTTGGGACCGGAACACCTTGGCAGACAGAACGCAAGAGGTACTTTTCGATGGTGCTGCAAGCACTGGTGGATCACAAGGGACTTTTCACCGACATCAACGTGGGATGGCCGGGAAACGTACATGATGCTCACATCTTCAGGAACTCTGGTCTGTTTCAACAGCTGCAGGAAGGGACTTACTTCCCAGACCAGAAAATAACCGTTGTGGATGTTAAAATGCCTGTAGTTAACCTTGGGGACCCAGCCTACCCCTTAATGCCATGGCTCATGAAGCCATACATAGGCAGCCTGGACAGTAGTAAGGAGAAGTTCAACTATGGGCTGAGCAAGTGCAGAACAGTGGTAGAATGTACATTTGGACCTTTAAAAGTGCACTGGTGCAGTTTACTGACGCGGTTAGACCTCAGCAAAACCAATATTCCCATTGTTATTACTGCTTGCTGTGTGCTCCACAATATCTGTGAGAGTAAGGGGGAGATGTTTATGGCGGGTGGGAGGTTGAGGCAAATCGCCTGGCCGCTGATTATGCGCAGCCAGACATCGGGGCGGTTAGAAGAGCACAGAAGGGCATGCTGCACATCAGAGAAGCTTTGAAAGCCAGTTTCATGACGGGCCAGGCTATGGTGTGACAGTTCTGTTTGTTTCTCCTTGATGAAAACCCGCCCCCTTGGTTCACTCTACTCCCCTGTAAGCCAACTGACCTCCCCCCCTTCGATCACCACTTGCAGAGGCAATAAAGTCATTGTTGTTTCAAAATCATGCATTCTTTATTAATTTGTCACACAAATAGGGGGATAACTGCCAAGGTAGCCCGGGAGGGGTGGGGGAGGAGGGAAGCACCGCGTGGAGTGGGGGAGGAGGGGAGGAGGAAAGGACAAACCCACACTGCACTTCAAAACTTATTGAATGCCAGCCTTCTGTTGCTTGGGCAGTCCTCTGGGGTGGAGTGGTTGGGTACCCAGAGGTCCCCCCCCGACCCCCCGCATTCTTGGGCATCTGGGTGAGGAGGCTATGGAACTTGGGAAGGAGGGCAGGCAGTTACATAGGGGCTACAGCGGCAGGCTGTGCTCCTGCTGCCTTTCTTGCAGCTCAACCATACACCAGAGCATATCAGTTTGATCCTCCAGTAGCCTCAGCATTGCATCCTGCCTCCTCTCATCACGCTGCGGCCACCTCTCCTCTTGCTCATCCCGCCTGTCCTCATGTTCATTTCCTGCTTTCCTGGACTCTGCCATTGTTTGCCTCCACACATTCTGCTGAGCTCTTTCAGTGCAGGGGGACTGCATGAGCTCAGAGAACATTTCATCACAAGTGCGTTTTCTTCGCCTTCTTATCTGCATTAGCCTCTGCAATGGAGATGATAGGGGGAGTGTTGAAACATTTGCAGCTTTGGGAGGAAAAAAAAGGGAGAGTAGTATTTAAAAAGACACATTTTAGAGAACAATGCGTAGACTCTTTCACAGTGAACCAAGCTGTTAACATAACATAGCACATGTGCTTGCCTCTTGTATTGAGGGCCTGCCGGTTTGGTGTGAGAGATCACAAACGCAGGGCCGGGCAACAGAATTCGGCTTGCAGCAGCCATGATAAGCCACAGTCTTTTGGCTTCTTCAACCTTCATAATATGTGGGAATGGTTTCAAACAGCAGCACCCTCATTTCCCATAGCAAGCACCCGTTGGGTTGGCCATTTAAAATGGGTTGGCCATTTAAAAGGAGGGGCTGCGGTTTTCGGGTTAATGTGCAGCACAAACCCAACTAAACCCCCACACACACCCAATTCTCTGGGATGATCATTTCACCCCTCCTCCCACCACGTGGCTAACAGCAGGGGTGACTTCTTTTCAGCCACAGGCAAACAGCTCAGCAGGAATGGCCACCTCTGAATGTCCCCTTAATAAAATTCCCCTATTTCAACCAGGTGTCCATGAATGATATCACTCTCCTGAGGATAACACAGAGAGATAAAGAACAGATGTTGTTTGAATGCCAGCAAATACCGGGACCATGCTTTGTTATGCAATGATTCTAGACTATGTGCTATAGGCCTGGTGTGGTAAAGTGTCCTACCATGGAGGATGGAATAAGGCTTCCCTCCCCAGAAACCTTTTGCAAAGCCTTTGGAGTACCTCCAGGAGAGCTTCAGGGAGATGTCCCTGGAGGATTTCTGCTCCATCCCCAGACACATAAACAGACTTTCCCAGTAGCTGTACTGGCCGCATCCCAAGTCTTCAGGGCAAATTAATCATTAAATACGCTTGCTTTTAAACCATGTATTATATTTATAAAGGTACACTCACCAGAGGTGCCTTCTCCGGCTTCATGCTCCGTGAGCCCAGGTTGGGAGGGTATTGGCTCCAGGGTGATAAACAGTTCCTGGCTATCGGGGAGAATGGTTTCATCTTCCGCCTCCTCATCATCTTCCTCCTCCCCAAAATCCTCATCCCTGTTGCATGAGACTCCCCCATGGCAGGAGTCCACATACAAGGGTAGGGTAGTGGTAGGGACACCCCTAGAATTGCATGCAGCTCATCATAGAAGCAGCATGTCTGGGGGTCTGACCCGGAGCAGCCGTTTGCCTCTTTGGTTTTTTGGTAGGCTTGCCTCAGCTCCTTAAGTTTCACACGGCACTGCTGCGGGTCCCTGTTATAGTCCCTGTCCTTCATGCCCTGGGAGATTTTTTCAAATATTTTGGCATTTTGTGTTTTGGAACGGAGTTCTGATAGCACGGATTCCTCTCCTCATACAGCTATCAGCTCTAGTACCTCCTGTTCGGTCCATGCTGGAG